CGATATGAAGGTGACTCTAAATTAAGCGATGCAACAAACTTGTTCGAAGAAAGAAGGGCTATATTAAAAATTCGTAACATTTGACACAGAGTTAACGCCCTCACGACTCCAAAACAGACGAATATAGCCTAGAACGCGGTGGTTGATCATTGATCGTTTATGTTCCACTCTTCACGCCCCCGACACGTCATGGCGGATAGCCCTAGTAAGAATTGACAGACCGCTGTCAGATACAGGTCCTGAATTTGTCCGAGCACCGTTTCATGTGTATGCCACCCATGCTCCAACAGCTGTTCACAAACACAGTAAAGTGGCTGAGAATTGTCACTTTTGAAGTTGGTCAATATTTTGTCTTCGTCCTAAAATTGGCGATTTAATCGAGGGCTGATGTGGAGAGTGCCCCCCAATCGATTGAATAGTGTCAATTTGAGGCTGCATCGATTCGGTTAGATTAAGCCTTATCTACCGCAGGAGTACCAAAGTACATCTCTACGGGTGACCGCTCTTGTTTCGGAAGGGGTCAGTACAGTACCCACTGACAAGCTTATCAGAAAACTTTCAATAACATAATCATTATCATCCTCATCTTCATAATCATCCTCCTCCTCATCATCCTTATCATCAAAAACAAACAACAACGACACATAACTAGGGAAAGCCTGTATAGAAGAAAAAAAACCTGCATGCCCATAAAGGCCTCCGTTCTCTGTACTGTTTTGTTCTCTTTTATCTCTTAAGTATTCTTAATAATGATTACAGATTCGAGGCAACAAGACTTCAAAAGCTTTATTTCGATTATTCCAATTAAAACTCATCAAGAAAAGAGAGCGATATCACAGGACAGTCTACACAATGTAGGAGAACAAATATCGAGTAAATGCTTATGTTCGTAGCTACAAGGGCGTTTACCATATGTAAAATGGTATTAGTACATGCCCTTCTTGGCTCTCGATCTGCAGACCAAAACATGAGGAGTGCAATCAAAATGCCAGATGACCTATGAACCTATGTCCTTTGGAAATGACTGGGGAATATTATGAAATTGGTATCTCGCACTTTCTAAAAAGGGTGCAGTGCAAACGTACCTCACAAATCCAACCGAGACCTTAACTCAGTGCAGCTATGTGACACAAGACGATGGTTACCATAGAAACGCGTTATTATCTGCCTGAGGTCTGCCCTACATAATAGCCCGGCAACGGTGTGCCCCTCTACTCAGTAAATGTATTTGCACGTCGATACTGCTGATTAATTGAGAACAAATTGTTCGTTTACCATTGTACGAGGCCGGTACACGAGTAAAAACACTGACACTTGGAGTGAAAGGAGTGGAGACATTTACAAACATTGGAAACTGTCAAATATTGATGGAGTTGGTCGGGCACACACGCAATTATTCATTATCGAACGGGTGGGCCTGGCGGTTGAGCTCCACCGCATGTGGTGAGGTGTTTACACGCATTTAACGGGAACAACAAAAAAAGGAGACAGTATTATAGCAATTAGTTTGGAGACTAAAAGGAATCTAAGGAAAGTAAATCGCTTAAATAGTGTTAAAGAAAAAGTATATGATGCCAAAGTCCCCAAAAGCAAAGAAAGAAGATCATCACTAATTTTGATATGAGACGATCGCAATCATGTTTTTGACGTCATTGTTGTTTGTGATTTGACATTCATCCATTCACGTAAAAATATCAGCACCTTCTATTTTCAGATTTTTTTTCCCGAAATGTAAATTTTGAGTTTAAAAGGTTGACATCACAGACTTTCGAACCTATATCTTAATTAAGGCCAGTCCATTTAAATACGAGATAGGGGGAGGGGGGAGGGGGACTGTTAAGGGTAAGACTTATGCTAGCATTAAATTTATGATGGGAAATATGAGAATACGACAGAAGACAATAAATTATGTTACGTTATATTTATGAAATCAAAATTATAATTTCCATAATAAATAACAAAGTTGTCAGCCAGTTATATTTAAAAATGTCTTCTTATATATATATATATATATATATATATATATATATATATATATACATATATATATCATCAATCCATCTTGATTTAGGCAATAATCTTCCCTTTTCTGTATATTTTTATATTATTTTACTGGGGGTTTAGGTAGGGGCCTGCAAATTTATCGCAAAAATCACGACAATGATCCGTAGATGGCGTAAGTTGGTTATTAATTGTAAATATAGGAAACTCCTTAAAATGTCAGCTAGTTACGTTTCCCGAGCTCTTTCTCTCTGTGTTGATGTTTATTGTTGCTTCCATGGTAATCATAACACAACATAACTAAAATCACTGCATTATTATGTAGACAATAATCACTCTCTTCCGTCTCTTTATCTCTCCGTCTCTCTATCTCTTCGTCTCACTACCTCTCCGTCTCTTTATCTCTCCGTCTCTCTATCTCTTCGTCTCACTACCTCTCCGTCTCTCTATCTCTCCGTCTCTCTATCTCTCCGTCTCTCTATCTCTCCGTCTCTCTATCTCTCCGTCTCACTATCTCTCCGTCTCTCTATCTCTCCGTCTCTCTATCTCTCCGTCTCTCTATCTCTCCGTCTCTCTATCTCTCCGTCTCTCTATCTCTCCGTCTCTCTATCTCTCCGTCTCACTATCTCTCCGTCTCTCTCCCTTTTATCTCTTTAATCTCTCCCTTCTCCATCTCCTTTCTCGGTCACTCACTTTCCTTCTCGCCCTCTCCTTTCCCCCTTTTCTGCTTGTATTTCTTTAATCTTGCAATTTAAATCCAATCATCTTCAATGTATTTCAACTCCCTAAATGTGCCTACTGCGCTAATGTAACCACAGAACGATCAAATTGTTTAGAAACGTCACATTCACAAACGGTAAGACGATATTGCTTACTTGCACAGTATTGTTTTATATGACATCTCTCATATTCATTATATCCATTGCCTGCCAAGCATTCACTTATACACGGGATCCAATTTTACAGATTTCTTTAATCTACCATGATCATAAATTCATTTTGTATAGGAAAAACGCCGACGTCACATACAGCAAATAATACGTAAAGGACATGATGTGGAGTTCATTTGGGAATGTATTGTTTATTTTTTATTTTTCATGATGGAAGGCAATATCATGACATCAATATTTTAGATTCACTATTTCAGTATCTACGTGATCATTCTATCAAATTGACACAGGGAGAAGGGGATAATAACAACATCCCCGAAACATCTTCCAACAGAGTCACATAATAATTAATTCCAATTCAACAATGTAGATTTCATCAAAGCATTTAGCAATCTTCAGAGGCGTACTTCCTAAAACGCGGAATCTATTTATTCATATACAGTGTGATAAACTATGGTCTATTATAGCTATTTTACACAAGATTGTCTCGAGATACAAAATGAAAGGTGAATGCCATAATTATAACAAATTGAAATTTAAAACAAAATTACAAAACGCGACAAAAAGAAATCACCAAAGTGTTGCTTGTGTAACGTTCCTTTGTACCGTATCTTGCTATCTTTTTAATTATTTATAATGTGTAGACACATATTGCAGTAATAAATATATTTAAGGAGAAATAAGATATAAACAAATTTGTTCATCAGCATTACATACTTATGGGCGGAAGACAATTCTTGCGCACATCATACAGCTTTGTGAAATAAATTGTGTTTTGATCATTATGTTCGTAGTTATTTTGTTCAATGCATACAATCAGTTAATACAGCTTTAAAAAGCAATAACAACTCCAAACACGATTGCTACTTTTTTTCCCTCGAAAAATCAGCATAAGGCAACTCATTAGCCTTTTGCGTCACCTATTGAAATGTACGAACATGATAATGATGCATTACATGTACGTACTCCGAACAAGATTCCTACCGGACATGCGCATTAGGGTATTGGAATTGCGTTCTAGTAGATTTTTTTTCGAAAGTGGTTGCGGTCGTGGTACCAAAATAAAATATGAAATACATTTATCACAAACATAATAAACATACGTGACATAGTCTATTCTGTTTTTCATATTTCTGCACACAGCTGCAATACTATTAAAGACGCATAATTTCGATATTTCAATTCCATAGTTTTGTGATGATAAAGCACAGACGGGCAGTGTATTATTCAGGTGATAGATTCTTGCATATAATGAGATACCATAAAATAGACTCCCCCCTCACCTTTTGTTTCAATTGTGCTATATGCAACTCCTAAATATAGATTAAGGATTTATCATATTTGATTTAAACTGTTTCTATTTATTGAAAATATATAATGGATGTTGTATCTTTCAAAGTATTTAGTTGATGTACAGAATTCATATTATTTCCATCCTCTTATTTATTAGCATAAAATAATTATGCTATTCAAATGTGATGATCATACACACTGGCCCGAATTCACAAAGGAGGTTTGTCGACAAACCTTGGTTTTCGTACGTCATAATGACGCGTTTTTACGCGTTTTTTACAACCCTGGTTTGTAAAAACGCGTCGAAACGCGTCATATGACGCACGAAAACCAAGGTTTGTCGACAAACATCCTTTGTGAATTCGGGCCACTATGTCCAACACTCTATGTACGATCTTTCTTTATGACTCAAGAGGGCAATATCATTTTCGCTGAAATAAACGATTACAAAAAAATTAATACTGAACACATCTTATCCATTACTACTAAAGGCGCGTGATACGTCTTGCAATCTCCTAATGTCAATTACTTAATAACTTCTAGATTCCATTAAATAAATGTTTATTTTCTCTGCATATTCCCACATGTCTGTATTATCCTTAAAGTTAAAGCCGACGCTGAGGTTATGCTCGGGCTAATGGAGGACGTTAGAAAGAGGCCCAATTTACCTCGTTGTTAATTAAAATACGGGCCAAAGAGTCAAAGACAAAAATCAGTGACAAATCTGCTGATATCCAATCAGAAGCAAGGATTTCAATAGCTTATAACAAAAACTGTCATTTGTCAATAATGACAAGTTTTGAGAAACGTCCCCCCCTGCTCTTTATATAATAAAGCTCTGATTCGATACGCTATTTAAATCTTTTAAAGATATTTATGCAACTCACAACACATTAATGACGAAAGATTACATCAGACGAAATTATTAATTTTGGTGAGAACATTATCTTAATCCCTACTGGAACGATGCTTCTATCGTCCTGTCGTTAAGGGGTTGTGTCGGCCGGAAGTTATCGACCAGCAAACCCTCCTCGCCCCGGAAGGAGAAATCGCCTTTCACGTGATTCTTTAGTCGACGGAATTCTTCCATCTAAAAAGAGAGAGAAAATGGACGATCGGCGTAAGTTAAGATCGTCGTAAGTTAAGAACATCATAGCAATGATTTTACTGATGTATTTATATACTTTTTAATTTTTTTTTTTACAAAACACCATCTCCTGACTTCTACTGATCACCACTGGCTTTACAAATTCGGTCAAAGTCAAACTTCAACAAAGATACTGCTTGAAAAATCAATCAAACTCGACTTTTGATAGTCAAAACTTATAAGTCTATAGTATAGGGTTGAAATATATCATGTCACTCTGTTTGTAATTTCCCTGTACTTGACGATGATGATATGAGTATACATTTTATGAAAAAAATTGTATCACTTAATGCTTTATCCAGTTAGCCTGTGTAGGCCGTTGTAGATTTTGTTCGGCAAGAGAAACTGCACCCTTGTTCCAAATATATAATTAGATAATATCTGAATCTATACTAGTCACTTCCAAAGTAAATGACTAATTGCAACGTCATTTATAATTATATTAATAAAAATTATGTTTTTCTTTAACTCCCATCTCGACATTTAAGTTTAGAGATTTCAGATAATTGATCGTTTTCTAAAAAATATCTTAATATGATCTGCATTCATCGATTTAACCTACTTGTGAGATAGATATCGTGAGTGGATACCGTAAGAGAATCCACGTGACCCTTTCGTAACAAGGGGGTGTGGTCAAGGAGCCTTGGTACGTCCAAAAATCCCGCAGTTGAGGATCTATACATGACACAAACAAAAAAGGAAAGAAAGAAAAAAGTTGACATAAGGACTACTCCTCCAAACAATCGCGAGTTCGCTTGATTCTGTCTTAGTTAAGGAAACACGATATGAGACGAAGCTATGAAATATGATATCAAACAAAATTTAATGAGCGATGGGAAATATATTCATTCGTGTATACAACAGGCTATCAACATTGCATAGTTTGACGGTAAATATTGCTTGAAATTGTTACTATTTATTTGGTATTAATCAAATTACCGCATGTTTTATTTCATCAGATACCATTCAAAGACGCTTTTATTTTAATTTGTTTATTACTTGTTCTGCTACATTTATGGTCCCAAGCGTACTCATTATCAGAAGTTTTAAGAGACCTTCTTGCCAGGCTATTTAATAATCATCAGTGGTATGAATAAAAGATATTAGAATTTTAATCACAGATGCCATTAAAATTTTATATCGCTACTCGGTTTTAGATAACTGCTTGAATAATAGATTTAGTGTTTATCATTAAGATACTGAAAACACATTAATGAAATTTGTCAATATTGAATGAAAAAGCGAAGCCTTTTGTTCGCCAATTTCTCGTGCGCTTTTTTCCTCACAGTTTTGTTTAGAATTAATTCAACTGAAACCGTCGTAGTTGGTGACATATTTCGCTTTATCAGCTCAAGAAGGAATTCCTTATTTTGCCCAATTTGCCCGCTCACCAGTCAGGCAAAGATTGCAGAAACAATAAGGATAGAGTGCCGAGTCGAAGCTTACGAATGGCTTGCCACAATATACCAACCCAGGACCCCTCATTCAAAATCAATACCATGGGGACCCAAGCAAACAAACCCCAGCAACTTTGGCGTATATATGGGACTGAAGGCGCTCTCCCGGGAACTCGCGGCACACGCGCGTTAGATTCTATTTAAACTGCAGTTAACTCAATCCATTTTACAGCCCTTAAGTACACAAAATCTGGCCGTTCACCAGTCTCGAACTGCTTGCTCTTTCAATCTCAACCGACATTTATAATGATTAGATTGTTTTTTTATTGGGTGTTTCTATTTGAGTAGGGATGGCCAACTCTCATAGCATTCTCTTTACGCAGCAATTTTGAAATCATTTGATGGTCCCTTTATACTATTGGCAGTTTATGACTAATAACCTAATGCCGAAATCTAATCTCGCGTGCGGCTATTAGCGAAATCATCTCTTTTTCTCCCCCTCCTATTTGGTATACGTACGCCATCTGTATGGTAGAGTTGTTAATAATTTTGAAATAAAGTAATTTATCCGGTAGCTGTTTGCTCTCGGCTATATAACAGGTGGCATGTTGTCGTCTAAGAGTGTACATCAAAACTGACAGGGGAAATATACTATTCATTTGATGGAGTGAGCCTACCCTTCAGATGAAGGATTTTCCTGTCCTTTTCTCCCCTTTTGTTTGGGAAGGGAAGGGGGGGGGGGTGGATGAGAAAACGTAACTAGGGTGGGTAGGGTCTTTGTATTTTTTTTCTCAATAAGACGACTTAACATAATCATTCAGATCCGGATAAAATACTTCTGCCTCGATAAACTAGATGGAATTCGACTGCGCGCAGTCGAAAATGATGCCTCCGTCATAGAGCAATTTTACCAACCAAAACAGAAGAAATTTTTCAAATTCAAGTTCATTTGTAATCCATTAACAGGTTCTCAAAATATCGTAATTACAAGCTATTTTTGCATACATAATGAGCCATGACCTTTGACCTCATGACCCAAGAATCTACTCGGTTCATTGGCTCTGCAAGATACATACATGATCTAAGTTTGGCAGGAATCCATCAATCTGTTCTAATGATAATGCGATCACAAGCCATTTTTGCATACATAATGAGCCACGTGACCTTTGACCTCATGACCCCAAAATCTAATCAGTTCATCGGCTCTGCAAGTAACATACATGACCAAAGTTTGGCAGGAATCCATCAATCTGTTCTTGAGATAACGTGATCACGAGCTGTTTTTGCATATATAATGAGCCCTGTGACCTTTGACCTTTGACCTCGTGACCCCAAACTCTAATCAGTTCTTTGGCTCTGCAAGATAAATACATGACCAAAGTTTGGCAGGAATCCATCAATCTGTTCTTCAGATAACGCGATCACGAGCCGTTTATGCTTACATAATGAGCCCTGTGACCTTTGAACTTTGACCTCGTGACCCCAAAATCTAATCAGTTCATCGGCTCTGCAAAATAAATACATGACTAAAGTTTGGCAGGGATCCATCGATCGGTTCTTCAGATAACGCGATCACGAGCTGTTTTTGCATACATAATGAGCCCTGTGACCTTTGACCTTTGACCTCGTGACCCCAAAATCTAATCAGTTCATCGGCTCTGCAAGATACATACATGACCAAAGTTTGGCAGGAATCCAGCAATCGGTTCTTCAGATAACGCGATCACGAGAACGGGACGTACGGACGTACGGACGGACGTACGTACGGACGGACGTACGGACGGACGGACAACCCGAAAACATAATGCCTCCGGCTACTTCGTAACGGAGGCATAAAAACAAAATAACCAACAAATCTTCCACATCAGTTTCAGAAATGAAATATAGTCACATAAATAAATATATGTAATCAATATATGTCCTTCATTAACAGAACTATGGAATAATTTTCACAATGCAATAATAACATGATATTATGCAACTACAAAGGAGGTGAACTGTTATCATAATCACAACGGTTCGCTGCCTGTCCTATTATTTGCCGTAGATGGAGCTTCACAAAAGATATAGAGAAAGCTCCTTTTACGATAATTTTAAAAGCAATGGTTAATTATTGTGGATAATTCAGGCATAAATTATTTAATACTGCGTCGTGGGATTTCGAAATATTTTTTTCGAATTAGTATAGGGGCTATGATGTTTATTAAATCCAGTGTTATGGCGGTGGGATAACAAAACGATACACATAATTAACGTTTTCAGGAAAAAAAAAGAAATCGGCAATTGGATTAATGATAATGCATTATTGTTGCCGTCGCGCATTTTGTTTACGGAGACAAAAATATGCTAAATTTCCTTTTAACACACTAATTGTTAACCATCGTGGCATTTCTTTTCAATAAGAGATATGCACATTTCAAACGTTTTATTCTAACTCCAACAAGTGAAAACATAGCTTACCCTTAAACCATGAAACGGGTCTTCTCATGTTGATGTGGTTTTATATTGATCGTTATTACCATTGGTGCTTCAAATACAATTAAATTCGAAATTTCAAAGTCTTCATTTTAACAACATTTCATTTTGTTAATCATTATTATGTACATATTAACTATGTAATGAATATTTGTGCGGCTATTTTAAATGTGGACTTCCATCTATAAAACGATAAAGTTGTCAAATGTCTAATAAAAATCAATTTATCATTCTAACAATATTGCTGAAGGCTGTATATCACTCGTCCAGAAAATCCCAATTTCATGGCGGTAATAAATTCATGGCAAATTTTTTTTTTACTCGAAAACATGTTAACTGTATCTTCATGACGATCATAACTCATAAATGGGCATGTACAACGCCCGAGGGTCTATATACCACCTCACCCCTCCATTAACTCGGCAACAAAACGAAGAAGGCTGGCGAAGGGTGGTGTTAACTGTTATGCAGGAGAAGTGGAGGGTGTTTTGCGGGAGACTACTCGCCACCACTGACGGCGGAGTTATGAAGACGTACGCAAGACATCTGTCTAAACTTGTAACAAGTCGAGCCGGTTACTCGATAGCTTTCGGGAAGTCGAATCAGATTGATCGCGGGCGCCTGTCCCCTAGAAAACTTTAATGAAGTTGCGACAAATTGGATTGAATTTGTAGCGCATTTGATAAAGAGAAAGGGAGGTGTGAAATGGAAAGAGGGAATGAAGGGGTGGGTTGCGAGGAGAGAGGGTGTCGGAGAGCTGTTAAGAAGAACAAATTAAATAGGATCGGAGATACAGAGAGAGAGAGAGAGAGAGAGAGAGACAGAGAGAGACAGAGAGAGAGAGAAAGAGAGAGACAGACAGACATACAGAGACATTGAGAGAGACAGGGACAGAGAAAGATAAAGAGGATGTTTCAGATTGAAGGAGAGAGGGTGAAGGGAAAGAGTAAAAGTGTTTAGGAAAATGTATGATGGTATCGTAAGCTAAAGCTGCTGAAAGTATGATGAGAGAAGCGCATCAAATTATATAAGATAAAAGAGGAAAATGTTATAAACAAAACAAAGAGCTTTTTCTAGGATACAAAAAATGCATCACATGTAGATAGTGCAACAGAGAAATAAGTGGGATAAAAGAGAGAGAGAGAGAGAGAGAGAGAGAGAGAGAGGAGAAAAAATGCTATCATAGGTAGAATGAATAATAATCAAGAGTAATAGAACAACAGAGTGGCAGATATCTTGTAGCTATCCTTTTGTGTATCTTGAAAGAGACAGAGAGAGAGAAAGAGAGAGAGAGAGGGGGATAGAAGAGAGAGAGAGAGAGAGAGAGAGAGAGAGAGGGGGGGGGATGGAAAAGAAAGAAAGAGAGAAAGAGAGAGAGAGATAGAGAGAGAGAGGTAAAAGAGGAGAGAGAGAGGTGAAAGAGGAGAGAGGGGAGGAGAGACAAAGAATGATAGAGAGGGGAAAACAAAATGAGAGAGACAGAAAAGACAATCAAAAATAGTGCAATAAGAGGGGGAGAGAGAGAGAGAGAGAGAGAGAGAGAGAGAGAGAGGGGGTGAAAAACTACACCGAAAGAGGGAGAAATGGGAGAGAGAGAAAGAGACATATCTGACCTCCAACAAGTACACCGTGCCCCTTTCCCGGTTCTCCCCCTCTCTCTCTCTGTCTCCTTACCCTCTCTGCTTTCTTGAGGGCAGAGCAGAGGTTCTCTTGGCAAGCCTTGATCAGGTTGCCCTGGTCGTGAGACACCGAATCGATGTCAGCAAGGCAGCAAACCTGTCTCACTTCACGGGTGGCGGCACTTTTTACCTTCGATCAGTTTCACAGATGCTCCACACGAGAAACGGCTAGTGTATCCACTAAAACTCATGTATTCCCAGTGACCAAAAAATATATGGGTCTCCACGGTATACACCTCTAGCGTTTTGGTCCAAACTCTCCTCGCGACGTCCTCACTGCCTGATTTGTTTGTCCGCCCTTTGAATCCTCATCCAGTATCTCGACACACCATTATATTATGTTATATTATTATGTTGTTTCTAAGCCCTTTTACCATAATCATTATTGCCCGGATTCCATTGCTATTCAGCACATTGTGTGCACCATCTCTACCCCATTAGAGAGCATTCCAACCACTCGCCTTGTACAGGCGCATACGTACTAGGGTACCGACATAATGCACCAAGGTGGACAGGAGTAATGTACATGTAGATACAAATGTGTTACTTTCGGCCATGGTGCTTTGCAGGGGATCGAACCCGCGACTTCCGCAACTCCATCATGTCTACTGCACGAATACGTTAATGAAAAACGAAAAGATAATAACCTGAGGAACAAGAAAAGGAGACTGACCCGTCGAACATTGTTGGGAAGAGACAGTAACACGATCGCAAACGCTTTCGAAAAATCATCTCGTTGGCAATTTCAACAGCCTATTGGATATGAATCATGTTCCGATTACGTCATACGTCACCGTCATATTCGCGCTTTTCGATAGGTGATGGAAGAGGTTATACTGATGGTGATTTTTCGAAAGTCTTTGCGATCGTGTCCAGTGAGAATGTAGCTGCTAGGAAGGACAGGGTTTCGCGGATCGTTGACCGGTTTCATGAGAGCAACACCTCGGTGTACCTTCTAATATCTTTCTTGGGTTACGGATTCTTGAAGCAGGCGTGGAAGCAGATGTTGTTTAGCAGAGATCAGACTTCTTCCGTCTGGTCTTCCGCATCACGCTCATCTTCCGACATTGGTCGACTTGGTTTTCAACAGGTCCTCCGCCAACCGATCGATCTATTTGAAATCCATCATATCTAGGTCATATCACGGTTCGGTTCCGATTGCCACTGATTTAATTTCATGATGAAAATCAAATCACGACAAATTACTCAAACTTTATTACAGTTTGGAATGTCATTATGGCTAACGAAGCATTCTCTCCGTCTAGATGATATATGTTCTTGGAATATAATGCGCCATGCCAGAGCCCGCATACGTTGAAAACTCACATTTTCTTTCCCCACTATCATTCCGATGAGCATTCTGTCTTTGTCATTTTTTAGTTTGAAGTTTTACGTCCCAACATTTCAATTCCTCGAATTATTCATAATACAAAATAGAACATTTTGAAGTTTCCTCGTTGCTACAGAAAACTATGCCAAAGCATTTATAACTAGCTTTAATAAGCATTGGCGTAGCCTAGAAGGTAATGGGGGCATATTAACATATTTTGTTGCCTCATTTAGCTCTCTTTACGCAAATTTTCGCCTATTATTCCGGTTAAATTTGTCGGCACTTTTGTTTGAACTGCTCCCCCTCCTTCCCGTGTAAAAATATCAACGTTATCAATGATTATCCATGGAAATGTTTCATGACATGTAGTTGATTAATTAATGATAGAATTACAACTTACCGGGCAGTAGGCAACTTGGATGAAATGGTGTTGTTACCGCTAGAGTTCTCCCCTGAAATTTGGAAAATAGAGAAGAAATCATTTTATTTAAGCTCCATGAAGTAACGTAAATAGCATCCTAATTGTATATTATGCATTCATTAGTAATGCTTTTCGAAAACAAATTTCTTAAAGAGTGTTTCGATTGTTTTATGAAACTATAAGGTATTATATAAAATTATATACAATTAAGTTATCCTCATCTAAATGAAGCACAAATATTCGTTCTTCATAAATTTATAAATATCGAGGAAATAGCATTAGTTTCTTTCATTCAGTTCATTCTTGTGAGCATTATAATGACAACCGTCCTCAAAGACCGAAACATGAAAATGGAAAAGAAAGAAAAAAATGTCGATTGCGAAATCATCTTGACTAGAAGAGACACATAAAATGACAAAACGACAAATGGTTAAACCTTGTGAAACTTTAATAGACATAAAGTTGTCAAATTAGATTTGACAGAACGAAGGAAGCTATCTCGTAATGGTCATCATCACCATCATCATAATGACAGGTCTAGTTAGCATTAAATCTTGGTTCATCTATCAAGGAGAGTGTTAGGTTCTTCAAAGATTGCAAATTTAATTGAGATGAGGTAAATATGAAAAGGAAGGGGGAAGATGAGAGTACTTCAGAAGAGAAAGACTAGGCATCGATCGGGTGCTTGAGAAAGTGAATTGGAGCTGGTGGGTGGAGTGTCGACCAGCTGTCGGAATGTAACACATCATCTAGGTCGGTAGTGTGATGGTGAAAGGGGTGGTGTGATGGTGAAAGGGGCGGAGGGAGGGGACGAATGGTGATGTTGGTGGTATTAAAGCAAGAAGGAGAAGGAGGGTTGGGTGAAATTTTGGATGGTAGAAGTAGTAGTAGTAGTAGTAGTAGTAGTAGTAGTAGAAATAGATGGAGTAGAAGTAGAAGTAGAAGCAGAAGTAGAAGTAGAAGCAGGAGCAGAAGCAGAAGTAGAAATAGTAGTAGTAGTAGCAGTAGTAGTAGAAATAGAAGTAGAAGTAGTGTTATTAGTATAGTATTTGAAGTAACAGCAGTAGTAGTAGTAGTGTTAGAAGTATTAGAAGTAGTAGAAGCAGTAGAAGTACTAGAAGGAGTAGTAGAATGAGTAGTGGTGGTGGGTGTGATGGTGGTGGTTGTGATGGTGGTGGTGGTAGTGGACGTGATGATGATAATGATGATGATGATGATGATGATGATGATGATGATGATGATGATTCATAAGGGGTGTACTCAGGTTAATGTAGTATTTGTAGAATAAAGTAAGAGGTATGCAGACATAGGTTACATAGATGAATATCGATCAATAACTGATTAATTATATACATGTAAATGGTACAGAGATGTAAGATAGACAGATAATTTATATAAAGGATAGGACATGGGGAAATGGAGATCTTTGGAGGAATATTTAAGAACGTCAAACTTAAAATTGAAAATAACGTAAATAAGATGAGACGTGTGCTTTTTTTCCCCAAAAAGAAAAAGATTTGCAATTAATTCATCAAACATTAATGGAATATATTGATAGATTTGACATGTCAATATCATGCCGTACAGGATGTGCAAATTGTGAGCAAACGGTATTCATTCCTGCCATTTTAATTCATCATATTTCATTCCATAAATGAAGGATAAAAGACTAAAGGTAATTTACTGGCTAATTCTATTATCTCAAATAAACTGTCATACTTCTGAACAGTTAAGTACCTTCGTATTTTCTTCTGTTTACAATACATAAGGACTGCGGACCCACCAAGTACCTAATTTCCTGAGATAATTGAATCATCCTATCGCTTTCTCTTTGCCCACAAACCTGGAAAGAAGAGTCAAAGTAGGAAAGACAGTATTGAAGTACGCATGGACGCTTGAGAAAATGAATAAAGTACACAGCGGAATTAATGGCGTAAACAAACGATTGAAGCTAAATGCACTGCAGTCAGAAACCATTTGCCGCATCGCATCGAAAGTGTGACATCATGGCGAAACATTGTTTGACATAAAACGCAGAGAAACGGTCATTGGTTGGCGATTTAGCCAATCAGAATAAGCGAAGATTATCTTTTCGATGAGTTGGTCTGTCTCCCCGTTTGTGTTTTTATTTTCATGATATTGGAATATGGTTATTAGTCTACAGGGTCATATAAATATCCGCCTTACAAAGTGAACTCGGTGAAGTGACCAAGGGGAAATGATTTCAGCCGTTAGATACAGGTTCATTTCAGGACACGATTACAGATTGGTTAATTGTACTCCCTTCATTCGCGTTGCAAAAAATGTATATCTTTGCATCATATCATGATAAAGAAATTTTTAAGCGTTTATAACATTATTGGCTTTGTATTGTTTGGGTTGAATGGTTTGTGTCTTGAGGGGTCTTTTAATGTCCGCATTCCACTATATTATCTTCAGGTAATGAATAATTATTATCTAATGAACAAATTTGTCGAATTCTTTTAATACTAGTTTTCTATCTTGTGTAGATAACAAAATATGTAATGTGTATATTGGCAAGTTCTTCTGGATTAAAAATAATTGGTAACTAGTTATGGCCATCTCTTTTAAAAGTAGTTAATGATGACCTTCAATACATAAGGAATTATTGTTATTGCTCAGTTATGAACAGTCATTGTAATAATTACTTACTATCTTCCTTAGATAACTGATGTACATGTCTTTTGTATTGGAAACTAAAGTTAAAGGTTAGATCAACTAACCGGAGGAGCAAAATACCATTAGTGACTCAAAATAGACGCATAACGATATCGAAACAATCATTGCTAATGTCTCTCTGCAAATGCATTGACAAAGGGACTTCTCGTCGTCGTTTATCTCCAGTGCATGGTGAAGGGCGAATCGATCGAAGGTAGAGAGAAGGTAGAGAGAAGAAAACGAGCAGAACCACGGTGTAAGTCTTGCATGTAATCAGCCAGCATGCAAGCAATCGATTCATAGATTACAATGAACTCTAGTTTCATCGACCCACAGTCATGCCCTTAAACCAACTGGGTGGTGGGTCAATAGTAATATCTGCGAGGCGGGAGGCAGACTTGTTTGGATTGTTAAAAATCATATACGGTGGGTGTAATAAGGAGGGATGCAACCAACGAACTTCGTCTTCTTCTTCTTCCAAGCCCAAGGGGGATCCCCAATCGAGTGTTCGGTGGAAGAGAAGGTAGCAAGCATGCGTAAACAACTTGACGACGGATGGGTAAGAGAGAGAAAAGAGAAACAGGGTAACTGTCGCGATGAGGAGCTTCACACCTTGGAGGCGAGAAACGAAGGAATTGAACAAAAAGCTAGAAAAGATGGGGTATAATTGAATCAGAAACCTGGTGGTTTGGTCGCACTTTCATTTCGACATGATGAGAAAAAGATGGCGGATAAAATAGCCATGCCGCGCCCTCCAGCCTACCAAAATATCAAATACAAAATGGCGCGGAAAACGAGGTTCCGCTAGACCTTCGGAAGAAAAAGGTCTGGGAGCTATTTTACAGAGCATTGACGAGGAAGGAGTGACATGTAACTCATTGATTGAAAGGAGAGGCAATAAAATTAATGTTTCCAATTCGCCACATCAGCGCTCTGAGATGCCCCCCTAGCTGCACTCTCCGTGAAACTTTGAAGAGCTAGCATCGCGCGCTCGATGCTCTGTAATGTTACCACTTTCCCAAATCAAATAAACATCCTATTAGTGATATTGTTTTACAAGAACGGTTGCTTCACCTCCTCTCCTTTCAGAGCTCAAAAGAGGGGAGGAAAGAGGGGAAGGCTCGGCTCATGGGACTCCCAAGTAGCCCAATAAAGGGCAGAAGTTTCGGGGTACTAATCAAGTTAATACAATTAGATGGGTTATTGCCAACTCGTCACGGACTCGTCTTTCAGGACGCACGATGGAAGAGGCGATGGAAAACGACTAATGAAAAATCACGATTAAATTAATTTCCACTTGACGGGGGAACACAATATCTGCGAGGTTGGGTAATGCGGTCGGAGTATGTGGGTCGAGCCGGATAAGAGTCTATAGGATTGTCATTGGGATACGATACATAGACAGAGGGCAGGGGTGACCATCCGAGCGAAGGTAATTGTTACAGCGATGGACAGACGTCCATGGTTATTATACTATTCAACGTTTCGATATTTATGACCCATAAGTGATCCATAAAAAGAACGAAGATTCATTGTAATTATTCTAAGCATCATCATACACCAACATACTCTATTAACAAAGTCAAGTTACATAGACTTATAAAAGAGCCAGCATCCGAAATATATCTCCTAATTTTAATCAATCGATGTCATTACTAACGAAAAGAGTATACATCAAAAATATATCCAAAGAGTCCAAACATTTCGGCGAATGAAATTTAAAAATTAACCACTGGTTCTATTATTTAACATCCATTTTGTTGTGGGGATTAACTGCATAGTAACACGTAGCGTAGAAGCTAGTTCTTATTTATTACATCAGCCTAGGTAAAATTTGAGCAAACTAATACAAAACGAAAAACTCACTTGCAAACTTGTTTATTGTTTAAAAATGAATTGCAATCAATAATGGTATTGGAAATAACAATAACATATAAAGTTTAGATCAACCATGCCTTTTTCCATATTTTCAAAGGTATGAATTTTATTAGTAAACTTCATTCATGTATATGAACATTTTGTTTCACGATATATATATATATATATATATGTAAAACAAATGTTCACTTTAGAAGGTAGTGAATAGCTTTATTATAACGTATACTACCCGATTGGCTTGGAGATGGTTTATCATTCAAAGCTTCTGTTTAATCAGTCTGGTGTCAAATTTAGCTGACTTCCGGATGCCAATTTGAGGCTCGTGTTATTTCACGGATGAATACAAAAAATATAATATCGGGTCAAGTACACTTATTATGCTAATCCATGTTTAATTAACTCGAGAAGGTGCACTGGAAGGTAGATAATTAATTTTCGTACGTGAGAGCAATAATGAAACTCCACAACGTCAACTTTATACAAGAAGCTTTGCGGTTCACGACCGGAAATCTTGAAGATCGTTTTGTAGATATTGAATCAGCAAGCAGAAAGACAAATTTCATTTCTTTGAGACTTGCAGGTATATTTCTTTTCCACCCTGGAACCATATCGAGCATGGCACAACCCTCTGTTTGACTCCTCTTTGGCCAGGGATAAATAGTAGAGTGAGTTTGTTAGTAGATTGATAATTGTCTCGTGGCGATCATTGCTCTCTGCACGCACACGATTTACGCTTCTGGTGTCTACGCAAATAATGGGGAAATCAAGTCCCTGTTCAACTTCTTTGTAACATCTTAATATCTTGTTATTTATTCAATAAACAGAGCGTGCAAACGCCCCGTAGAATTCGCTTTATCGACTCTTCAAAACCCTAGAAGAAAAACATCGAGAAGGCATCGATGCCTTTTCTTTATCTTCTTCCTCAGTCGAAGGCATCATTATTAATTTTCCTGCACTGTTGAGTCTTATTTCTCTTGTTGTTCGGTGCTGCGAGGGAGAGAAAGAGAGCAAGTAGTTTTCCTGTTGGAAGCGAAGTGCAAATAACCGTAGCCAGCGGGCGATGGATCCGATATTTTGTTTCAAACTTCACAGGCATGATATGGCGCGCAAATATCGCTGGCGATGTCTTCATTAAATTCTCGCTATGGCGCGCTGTGGAATATTGATATTTGGACAGGAATACTTGTGCCCGCGGGCCATGAGTGCGTTCGGGGGGTAAAACTGGTTTTCGATCGCTCTCCTTCCCTGCCACCATACATGAAATATAGAAATACAATTGCTTGTTTGACCGTAGCATACATTCACTCGAACGGCTATAATGTGAGTTTTGATGTAGGAGTCAATATTGCACAATTACAACAAAATGTTCTGTATGCAAGATTTTCAATTTTTCAATTTCATATCAAAGCAAAAATCTTGATCTCCTATTTATTATCTAGAACGTCAAAGTTTGATGAATGTGATCGCTGGTAATATTTGTGTTTGAAAAATAATAACTCGGGTTGTGAATGGAGTCTTTATTAATTAGGTATATTTCATGTTTGCGGCAGCATGCCTTGGAGGTAGTTGAGATAAAACGCACACGTACTCAAACTGCTACCCCGGGTGATATGAGCGGGTGATATGAGCTGGCGATACCTTTCACAACTCTATTTGCCAGGAAATAGCTTTGTGGCAGGATGATAGTGAAAGACAGAGCATTATGAGTCCGAGCTACCACCGCTCCCCCTCCCCCCTCCGGGTGCGAATGTGCCCTTCCCGCCTGGCCTGAAATAGCTACAATTGCCCTCGATGTAGGCACCCCTGTTAACACTCATCGAAGATTTAATTAAAGATGGTTAGAGCACCGGTAATACAAGATCCCTCTATTGTTAGGAGGTAAAAGCATTATCAAAGGAATCCGACTAGAATTTGACAATCATTCCCGACAATATCGAGATGAGGAGATAAAAGAGAAAAAAGAGCGGCAAAAATCGTATGAAATTGATTTGAAACAGAGTCGTCTGCATGGAGTCCATCAGATTACTTCAGCTGACGAGGATACAAAATAAGAAATCAAGAACAGTTCTGCGAAGATGAAGAAAATTGAAAGAGGGGAATGAGAATTGATTCATGTCAGTTGATTTTCGGAAAGAATGGGACAATGTTACGTTACTGAATTCTGACGTGCATTGATTATTGCAACTACAAATTAACAAAGAAGAAAGTCTTTTCCTGCATTTATATTTCTCTTAATTTTATCAAGGAATATGAACTATCCCATTTTAATCGTAGAACGATACTTGGGGTTTAGAAAAAATCCTGTCTATTTATGATTAAGGGTTTGTGAACAACAACGACGACACGTGTCATTGCTAAAATATTCACACAAGGTACGAAAAGAGAAAATAAGTAAAAGAAAATTTAGGATATATTTATTGTGAAGAATGAAGAATGAAGGTTAATGAGAAAGTGAAATGGGATATATATTGCAAAGTAGAGATGTTAAGACACGTTGGAAAGTAAGGATGTATAAATCATATAAAGAGGTGACGAGGAGATTGATCATTAAGTATAAGAAAGTAAGAAAAGCAGAGAACCGCAAATTATGGACTGAACAGTTATAATTGAAACGTAAATGCTTTCTGACAATTTATTGAAAGATTTGGTAACACCAACTTCTATGGTCTTTGTGATGTGAAAAAGACTGTTGTAAATTAGTTATGACAAACGGTTTGATTTACACACTGAACATGAAAAGAGAGATACGATAATTAGAAATGATCTTGAGATAAGAAAATATTTTGGAAATTTAATGTGAATAAGTTCCAGGTATATCTTACCTTGTACTGAACGGCTTCGAGGTAATCGGTGAAAGTTCGAAGGCCGGCATGTTCCCGACCAACCTATATAGAAAAATGAACAATATTTAGAGATATTGTTCAGTTGATAATATTGTCCTTTTTAGAAAAATGGGTTGGATCAGTATGAAATATATATTTGTTCATTGAACACTGAGCTTTGGGAATTATACATGTACTTTGAAACATCACCAATAACTTCTATTTTGTGACGTTTCCTTATTATGAGCAGTGTAATTGATATGGGACTACATCAAAATATATATCTGTTTCAACGAGATAACGCAGAGAAACGATTCATATCTGGAATGGATATTTAGGTATTGGTCAACCGATTTGATGGAGCATGTAGCAAAGCACAAATGGCTGATGCTAGAAAACGAATAATTTTAGTTTCTAGAATTTCTCAGACATATTTATACATTTTATTGATTTTGATGGAGGTGCTATATACACGAATATGCCAAAACATTGTTTGAAAGTGAATGGTTTTGCTTGGGGTATGGTAAAGTAAGAGGTTAAAATATGGCAATGACCGTCGCCTGGTTATCTTCGGAAAGGGTTTTAAACTATGTAGTGACTGCAGACATCATGTATAAGTCTTTTAATTCTTCGACTTCTTTATCTGCTTATTTTACAAGACAAAATTCAATTTCTCTGCATTTTGCAAGTGAACTGATAAATATTGTGTAAGGGATAAAGGTCTGAGGGCTATCAATCTGGGGGGGGGGGGGGGTGTTTCACAAAACTTGTCGTCAGTGATAAATGACAGATTTTGTTATAAGCTTGTGAAATCCTTGCTTCTGATTGGTTATCAGCAGAGTTGTCACTGATTTTTGTCATTTGTCATTGAAAAAATGGAGCTGATGAGCCTTTGTGATCATTATACAGTGTACAAAGAAGTCGGTACCATGATTCATCCTGTATGCATGACTGTCTTTTCAGAGCATGCAAACACACAACAGAAACCTGTGAATTGGAAATGAAACCTAGGATATCTAATGATGACTCCAAATATGTCTAAATTGGGAGCTGGACCACTCAGTCACCCTTCTACTTAATAAGGTGATCAATATATCTCATCTTCGCACCGGACCTGTAATCGCTATTGTTTCTCGGTCGAAGAGGTCGTCCGGAGAGAGAAAAAAAGAAGACTAAGATTAAGACAAAGACTTCGTCATCATCGGAACGGTCTAAAGGTGACGGAGACGATGTCGATTGACGAGGATCGTGGTAATGAGACGAAGACAGCCGGAGGTCGTTACAGATAGGAAAGGGCAGAAACATGACGGGTCAGCGGCGTCGCTTTGCTCGATGCCGAGATGAAAGAAGCCGAACGGAGCAAAACGGGAACGAGAGGAAACACACTCTAAATGAGCAGATAGTGAAGGCGAGTCAAAATGATGGGTGAGGCCTTTGATAGGGTTAGGACGGCGAGTGGGTTACAGGGGCGTCGCTGGATTTTGAAGGGGGCGTCGAACCAAATTTGCAAACAAGTAGGTTGGAAAAAATGCCAACAAGCGTAATCATGTTGATCCCCCGTGAAAAAGGTCATTGACTGTTGGGATATGTCAACCGGCAATAGAAATTCTCAATTTGCCGACAGAAATCTCATTAAATGAGGGGGGGGGGGGTGTCACAAACCCCTCTTTCCCGTTTGGCTCCTCCCCATGAGGATGATTAAGTCAAGACGGTGCCGATCATTCAGACCAATATGATGCAATGAATGAGTTCAAGTGTGATTTGAGGGGAATGTTTCTAACAGGTTAATTGCAACCTCTGTGTTTTGAGGTAGAAACCGAATCACACAGGTTATTGGTATTTTTGTTATTATGAAGTTTGCGGCTGAGAAACTTTGATGTTTGGCGATTTGGAAAGTGTTCGCTTATGGGTAGGACTATAATACAATGATGACGTCATGATGACATATCGTTGATGTTGACAACCGATTTATATGTGAAGTGATTTATCGATGACTCCATGCTTTGACCCTATACCCGACAAATGTTGTACTGTTCCTTTGTTTAATCCCTGCTTGGAGTGGATAATGGACACCAAGGCAAAATTTCTTTTCACAATTCATCAATCGAACAAAGACATGAACAAAGATGTAAGCAAATTTCCTGAATTTAGGTCGTGTAAGAGCTGGGCCCTGTTTCATAAAACTTGATATCAATAACAAGTTACAAGCTACCGTTATAAGCTACTGATATCGTGGCATGTGATTGGCTGAAAGCAAATTTATCATAGAAATTTAGCATTTGTCATTGATAACAAGTTTTATGAAACAGGGCACTGGACATAAAAATAGTTCACAATTTTGATAAAACAAGAGCAAACACAAGTATGATAAGACCCCCTACATCCACCACCACAAACACACACACATAATTTTCGAAACAAAGTTTTGAGGTTTCCATATTTTCTTCTCATGAAGAGTATTTCCTGAAACCATAAATCGAATTTAAGCCAATCAACGCCGGCATCCCAATCTTTTATAACTTCCAAAATATCAATAAAAAATAAGTCATCGTGACAAAGAACAGAATGACGTAAAGAAATGAAACATTTATGCTGTACATTGGCTAAAAAGAAAACATAAATTTACCGCAAAATGAGCAAGCATTGGCGCCCTAATTAAACATTCGAGCGTTCGAATTTACCAGATAAATTTGTTGAAATCAAGTCAAGTGCGATAGTTGAGTAAAATCATCTCATTGCCTCTTCCTATTACGCACACGTGCTGTCCAAGAAACATTTTAAAGATTATTCATGACTTGTTTAACTTCATTACAGTTTTCCTTTTTTAAGGAGAAGCACCAATAATGTTTCCAGTAGTCAAGATATTGTACGTGTGTCTAGGAAATTTTTGTGACAATAGTCCATTTAACCGCTAACTCGTTCTACTGAAACCGCAGACATTTTGTTCATTCTTTTCTATATTAGAAGAAATTTAGCTCGGCAAGGAGCTTTTATTTTCGACGGACGAGGGTCAGGGATTAATGTGGCACGCTTATGGGTACCAATAGCCAGGGGCGGGGCGACTGACTTGAAAATTAGGCGTTCCTTCGGCTTCTACCAATGTTGTTAGGAGCTCAATGGAATGATTTGTTCAGTCGGTGATTCATTAAGAAATGGAAGATGATTCTAGAGTCCTCCACGTGTTGGAGCGTTGAACGATAATTTCTGCATCCCGACGAATAAAAAAACTGAGATCAATGCAGCGATGAAATGATGGGACTTTATTGGATTTTGTGAATCTGTGGTGAGCCGATTTTTTTTAGCTTCCTATCATCATCTTCTCCTCTATCGAAGTAAATTTCAACTTTAAGTTATTACCTTTCGGCATCTAAAAATAACAATGAATACTCCCCTCCGGCTATGGATGAACTTTTGTCACTTGAAAGGTTCGGACAAGTTAAATAATTGTCAACCTTTGATAGAAAAAGAAATTGAGAATGTTTCCTATATTCAGAAGACGCCTGCATGTCTTTGATATCTTGATTATCTTTTATCAATGTACTTTTCCTCTCACGCTCTGTTCTCATACACTTTAGTTCGCATTGTACAAATTATAGATAAGGCTTAGTAAGCGTATGCAAACTTATTTTGCACAACAATGCTTGATGTTACCGAAAGCTTTTATTTGATATCTAAGAATGGTCATAAGAAGAGTATTTACCCTAAGAAGACACATCGATTTAATATCTGAATATTGCAAGGAAAAGGTAAGAATTAAATATTTTGTAGCCACTTGCGACCATATACAGAAAGATCAGAAAATAATTTGAAAGACAATTTAGCAACATATCAATAATTAAAGAACGTGTCAATATCTAAGCCAATTCAATCAACGTTGGATAATTATTATGGGAAACTTTAAAGCGCTCTCAAGTTTGAATGGCAAAACAGAATCAGACTAAAGTAAAGAAATATATAGACAAAAATGTAACCGAAAAATAAAGAGAATAGAAACAGTTGCGGCTCGAAGATTTTGAAATAGCGGGAGCACCATAAAATCCGTTTGCCTGTTATGAAAGATATCCCCCAAATAGAAAGGGTGCGCCGCATAAAACCCTCATTTCTGCGTCATGTGGGAGTTCCCCTTCCCTCACCACCACTCCCTATTCCGTGCTTGATGGGTCACTAGTAGATACCAAACACACAACGGAGGACTATAATTATTAAAGGGATCCGGTAGCTTTGTCTCAGATTCTGAAAAAAAAAATCGATTTAGCTCATGCTGCAATGATAATTATAAACCTTTAGGTCAGTCAGGTACCCCATGACTTTTATAAGCCGATTGCCTGTCTGATTATCAAGATATTTATGATTGGAATTACAAATTTTAAAAACCGTTTGCCGAACGGTTTTCATAACACTACAGTCTATTGGGGGGGGGGGGGGGGAACGAGTATAGTAAAATCGGTCACTCAAAGATTTTTATTTTTTTGAGGCACTTCTTGATCATTTTGAAGCGCAATTTTATAGGGCTTCAATATTACACCATATCACAGACACTGATAACATGTAGGGTCGTGCATCTCAGCGATGTCTTGTAAGAAGAATCAAGATTATTATCCATACCTGTATAAAGAGAGCTATGATGGATATACCGTGTGGTTTACCCATCGCCTCCTCCAGCGTGCTATACGTGGAACTGTTCCAATGGATTAGATGCAGCTGAAAAAAGAAAATAACAGAAATACCATTTGTAAGCACACTTGGATTCAAATAACACCTAATTTTACACAGCACATATACCCTAAATTGAATTATTAACAAAAGGTTATTGCTGTCCACACCATATTGTTTACAAATTTTCATATCACCTATATATTCATCAAAAATATATACAAAGTAATTCGATGCTACAATTCAAATAAAGGACAATATAGAATATTCAATCAAAGACACATTTCAAGAATAATAACTACTGGTGAAATGTATACAAATATATGCCTATTCACTTTCACAAAACGAATGTACACGATTCTTTGTCATGATGTAATGTGTTCCCTAATATTTTGAAGCGCCTTGAGCATTTAATTAAAATGGATAATGGCGCTATATAAATCTCATGTATTATTATTATTGTTATTATTATTATTGTCATTTTTAGTTTACTCTAACGCGACAATAGCTTCCCAAACCATTCATACTTCTCATATCAAGCTGTGCACCCAGAGAATACGCTATTAGGATATTCATATCATCAATTCATCTTGTTTTCTGAGTCTAGTTTGATTTCATAAATTACGGGCATTATAAAGAGACGATTGGTACTATAAAATCAAAGAATAGCGAAGAATACAGACGTACACACGCTTTTCGCCTTGCACTCATCAGCGTTTACGCAAGAATGAACCGAAAGCAGCAATCGATCGGACAATCGAAAATCTTTCAACAGAATAATCAAATGAGATCATAATGAACGAGACAATAATATTGTTTTGTTATGTTATAGAAACAGAAGTTTTGTTCTTCTGAAATGCTGTTTTTTAAGCAAACTACTGTATGGGCAAAATTACACGTCATCCGTGAATAATATCCACTGTGGACGTTTAGATGTATACTTCTATATGGATTTGTTCGAATGTGGACATCAAAACCTACACAGTCCATACGCTGTAAATGTGATAACCGTTTTCTATTCACTCTCAATTGGCAACCTTGTAAACATAATGAATTTAAATCGTTCTGCTAAATCGCCTGGATTTTAGTATCACTGTCAATTCTTCTCTGCGACAATAGACAAATCGGTTTTTGAATCGTGTTTTATATTGCTTGATGTGCGTTGCATGGTAGAATCATAATTGCTTCTATTCTTCTCAGAATTCTAACTGTGTAAGGGATATTGTCGCGGGGACAATGGGGATAACCCGATGAAAACCGTGGTTGAATATGATAATAATTGATGCAGAATTACCCCTATAGAGTTGGCTATTCCGGTTTGTTCTTTTATACGACATAAATCTGTATTATACCCAGCCTCTAGTTGATTTTTTTTTAATAGCTAGACCTATCTCCCATCTCTCCTCCACGGTTATCGATTTACTTCCGGTGCGCTGTCATAATTTTGTGCTCTATACAAAAGAGAGAAGAGACGAGGTCTATATGATGAATGGCTCATCCGTAGGAACACCCAGTCTATTGAGCAACCAATATAATCAGGAGGAAATTACAGATTATTGAGCTATAGTTGGGGAGATTTCATTTTTCTTTTCTCCTCCACATCAAGGAAAATTAAATGATGAATGCTTTATACTGTCAATCAAGCAGAGGAACAAAATAGCTGAACGCGAAACGCGAACCAACGCTGATACAAGCCATTCCTTTTTATTTTCATCTTTTCTCTCTGCTGCCGTCCTTTCAACAATGATATCGATGATTTTCAGTCAATATAGGAAGAGGATTTACCGTGTCAGACTTAATGTTTAGCTAAGCAAGAAGAAACCCAAGGCCGGATCTACAGCGTAATAGCTGTAATTATCAGTGGATTCGTCGGAGCATTAGGCACAGATCCTGTTGATACCGGGAGATGGGAGCTAACTATTACCCATCGCAGGAACCTAGAGAGAGAGAATGCTGATAGAACCTAAAGATAGGCAGACGCCACCAGAGTGCTCATTTATTGCCGATACCAAATCAAAATTAATCAAGAAGAGACGATGAAACTAAGTTAGGATGATTTTAGGTCATCAGATGCTGCCTTAAAAGAAGCCATCTCTTTCTTAAATGGTTTTTTATTTCGCGATATTAGTAGAGAGTGCGGTTGCGAGATAATACCCATAAAAGAGATTATGAAAGTGCAGTTGAAATGAGATTTGAATTTCTAAATTAAAGGCATCGATTCTTGGCTATGAAAGGCTTTCATCGAAGCTTGTTTAATAGGACAAAGGATATAAATTCAATAAAATCAAATATAAAGAAGTAATCGACAAATATTATCATGCGTTGCTATTCATAAACACGTAATCAAGTTGTTTGAATGAAGTATTACGAATACTTGATTGATGTTTCGTTTTGTAGGTATTTCTGCAAATAGAAGCCTAAAAATTGGAGACATCGAAATAACATCATCACGAAAGAGGCTAACATTGTTTGACTGACTAAAAGAAGATAAAGAGTTAAAATGACTAAATTCAAATTACAAGTCAATGATGAATTTCATCCTCAGCACCCCCCCCCCCCCATCCGATAAAAGTTTAAACCCTCGGAAAAGTTTGAATATCCTTGTGTTGAGATCTTTTAGACTTCATAACAAACAATCTTTGAATTGCCATTTAATGAAAAGATAAATAGATGCAGGGCAGAGAGATAGATAGAGAGAGAGAGCGCACGAGAGAGAGAGAGAGAGAGAGAGAGAGAAAGAGAGAGAGAAAGAGAGAGAGAGAGAAAGAAAGAGAAAGAGAGAGAGAGAGAGAGAGAAAGAGAGAGGAAGGGAGAGAGAGAGAAAGAGAAAGAGAGAGGGAGGGGGTGTAGGGAAAGTAAGCTAATGAAAGGAAAAGAAAGGAAGGGCGAGAGATCTGACTACATTGCATTTGAAAAAAACCGTTTAGATCTATATTTTTTTCTACAATTATTTAGTTGCTGATCTCCAATTAATAAAACTTGAATTTAACATTCAGGAAGTTTGATTATTCTTTATTATTTGACTCTTTTGATTATTGATTTAGATGATAATTTTTAAGATAGTATGGTTTATTCCATATAGAAGAGATCGACGAGAAAGCATGCATTTTCTGTTTCTTTTTCCCTCTCGCTGTCTCCCTCCCCCATTTCCACAACTATTGTATGACATGACATGACTGTCTTAACCGTAAATTTCTCATGATGCTTGAAATGATGGAGTGAAAGTTTGATAACTAGCCATACTTCTCCCATTAGTTCCGCCGATTTGTGTACTTAATCAATTAGTCCCTCCAAATAAGACTTGTTACAATAGTTAAAAAGCTCGTATCCGCGCTAGCGAGTCGGAGGTGAATGGGTCGCCTGAAGGTACGGGCGGACAAACCCCTGATGAATCGATGGCTTCTCAGACTGGCGCCTTGCATCGGGGAAACAAATGATCATCAAACAACGGCCCTGATCACAACGATCAACCCACAAAATGTCTTACTCACACACATCGACACAATGACATTAAAGAAAAAAAAGAAGGAATGTTTTGTAAGGTGGAAATAACACCGGACAGAGATCGGAAGAGGAAAGAAAAACAGAGTGCCACAGACACGTTTGAGCATCACCCATCACTAACGGACTCCGGCGACAAGTTGGGTCATAGTGCATCATACAGATAGGGAGAAAAGGCGAGCATGAGACCAACATCATCAAACAATGATAGGGGGCCGAATAATGAGTCAGTCTTGCCGTTGATGATGTCATGAGAGTCAATTGGATAGCGAGAAATTATCCACAAATGAGGCTTTGTTCAACTCATTTAACACATTCAGCGTAGACAGAAATTCGTCAACCCTTTAAAAAGACGGTTGTGAAGCTCATGCCAACTCCCTGGAAGAACAAAACGTCTCATTTAGTACCATCTTATTGTTCTTTTTTTAAATTTTGTGCTTTATATTCTTCACTACAAACTTGACAAAACCGATAAAATATATAAAGAGCTGGCCTGTACATTATACATACAAATAATATATTCAAAAGGTTAACCTAAACTTATTCATGTAAACGGAGACGTCATTCCTAATATAGATACATTTTAATATCAAAATGAAATACAAAGTCTGGAATAAAATGATCAGTTCAGTTCAGTTCAGTTCAGTTCATTTTATTCAAAACCATACAAAGCATGATATAATCTGTTACATAAAAAAGAGACTGGTGATAGTACATCAATCAACATATTCTAACTTGATTACATCATAAACTGAATGGTTTTAGGACCCCTTTGGAAGCTAAGCTTGTGAGCGGGGCCCTATAACAAAATACATACATTTACAGTAAAAAGAATGTTACGTATGATTATACAATGGATGAAAATACTAAGCTACAGAATATAGAACATACAAATACTCACACACACACACACACAGACACCACACACGCACATCACCATATCGGTTAATAATCGACGGAGAATATGAAAATAATTTTACGTGGTTGTATACAAACAAAATCGAGAGAACATTTATATCAAAACGGTTGCCACGGGTGTTGATAATGTTCTACGAAATATATACCGAAAGATTGTAGGAAAAACGAAAGCTGGACAATACTCTGAGAGAGGGAGAGAAAAAAATGCCTTTCCTTAAAATGTTTGTATACTTCAATTTTGAGCTACGTATAGGAAGAAGATGAACAAAGACGGTCCCATTAAAAAATAGAAGGGAGAAAAGATTTCTACACATGAACCACGTGCACCTTTCATGATTTAAATGTTATTTGAATTTTAAAGAAAATCTCTTTCGATGAAATTGGAAATCATTCGACACATTCCGGACGAGATTTTCAGCACTTCATGCAAGATTAAAGGCAATCATCTGGTTTCAATTTACTTTAATATCATTTTTTTTAAACGCAACTTATTCAGCCCGATCTTCCGTACCGAAACAGGTTTCTAATTAGGAAATGAAAAATTGAATTAGACTCTTGTGATTATAAATCACACCCAAGTTTCTCATCTATGAATTATTCTACATCCAATCGCATTTGTCATTCAAACTATTTATTAATACGTAATTAATAGCGCCACAAGTCTGATTAAATTGACATAGCACTTTAAAGAGTGCCAACATCGACGAGTACAAACATTGGACTCCCTCTCTCCTCGATTAATTTTCACCTAATTTATAGAAATAGCCAATCGCTATTACTGGCTTGTCATAATGCTGGTCTGGGTAATTGTGTTACGACTAAAAACACATTCAAGAGCAGGTCCTCAACCCGGGTCCTCAAGTTTGCTTTTTCAGAAATCATCAGCAAACAAACCATTTTTGTTCATGATGAAACGATGCTTTTTTTTTAGATGTGTAAAATCCAACGACATTTTCTGAGATATATCTACGTTGTTGATAAATGTATTTTTAAATGCGCATGTGTAAGTACAAAAACACTCCCTTTTCCCTCTGCCAGATCCCTTTCTATCCATCATATAGTTTGCTATCTTTCTGATTTCTTTTCTTTTTCTGTTTTACCTTTTCTCCCCCTTTATTTGCCCCATAACCCAACCCAAAGTCATGTCAGTCTCTTTGCAAAACCCAAGCTGACCTGCTGTTGCTGATGCGAAATTTAAAAAAATATATCATGCTAATCCAAATATTCCTCATGGCGAGGGATGAGAAGGATGAAGAAAGTACGAGAAAAACATCACCTGATTTAACCCATAACCTACCGGCACCGGATAGCTCTGGTATTAGAGCCTATGGAGATGAGAGCATTCAGGAGTCAATGGTTTCTATCTTTAAAAGACTTTGAACACCTGAAGTGTCATCCAATCTGGCCATCTGTTGTGCACTTTCTTGCGAAATCAGTCTCAAAAAACGATCGTAATTACTTTCGAAAAATCAACTCATATTTCAAATTATGTTCAGGGTGTAATCATTATTTAATCTTTTCATCATGTCCGCACATTTTAATAAGTGACGCACAAGATCTTTTTAAATTATGTTCGGTTAATTTTTTGAAAGTAGCTGCATTCGTGTTCTTTGTACAGTAATAATTCTTTAACAATATTTATTTCTCAGATATGGTGGCTATGTTCAGCACAATGTATAAAACACAAGGTACAATACAAAACGTGTTAATATCATTAACATTTGAAGAAGGGGGAGGGCGTGAAGAAATAGATTTGAGAAGAAAGCAGAATACTTAACTTCCTTAACCTCGAAGGAAGATTAATGGATACTTATTGAAAACATATGCAATAATATGATGAAAAGAATGGCCACCAAGAAGACGACTTGGGAACAAATTCACGATTGTAATGACTAAACAAAAAGCAACCTTGCAAGCAATTTCAATCCCGAAGTGTAAAGACCAGAGAACTGGTATTGGGATTATGTAATATGGCATGGTTATGATTGGAATTCACCAAAAAGCGTGGAACGGTAAATTGGCTACAAAACTCTAGGCATTATTCAAACTCAATCGAGCAGACACTTTTAAAGGTAAAGACCAGTATTGGAAACGCCCCAATTTCAAAAAATGAAATGGAAGCTCTCATTACCAATCATGTGAAAGAATATGTTTTGACTAATACATGATGATAAAAAATATGCCAGGAAACCGCCTACTAATTCATATATTTGGTAAATTTGTTTCTCTCGTGGTCTGTGAGAGATATAGGGTAGTCCCATATACATCTTTCTGTGTATAGTGCTTGTAACTTTACGAAGAATGGGCCAAATTTCTTATCATTTTGATGATTCCAGAACCTTGCAGATGCTAGATGCTAGATGATCAACCTTTTCTGATCGATTCCACAACGTTTCTTTCACAATGCAATCGCATGACCATAACTGGTCTTTACCTTTAATTCGTCATATTAATTTCACCGTTCTTACTCTCTTCTTGGGCCTTACGTTTTATTGTCCGTTATTTGCTCCATCATTATAACACCTAACACAATAATCATACATCGTTATGTTAATACTGAAATAAAAGTGGGGGCGCTACAATGAATTAGAAACCGTTCATATTCTACTTCGGCGGATTCGGAAGAACTATCGTACGCTGATAATAAAATATTACAACGAGCTGATTCCAGAAGAAGAAAAACTTCGATAGAGAGAGGTGGCGCTCTTTCGGTGTGAAATGCAGCGTTCTCTTTGTAAAACAGCAGTGAGAACCAGATGACAAATTTCAGTTTTTAAAAGCAAATAATAATCAACAGAATGTTTATAAAAAGGTAGAAAGGAACTATATTTTGATGAGGCGGGGAGGCAGGGATGGACCAAAAGAGAGAGAGAGAGAGAGAGAGAGAGAGAGAGAGAGAGAGAGTGAGAGAGAGAGAGAGAGAGATGGAGAGAGAGAGAGATGGAGAGAGAGAGAGAGAGAGAGAGAGAACAAAACAAAACATAAATAGACACATGTACTGTCTGCCCAGCAAAATAATTTAGCGAAAGGGGGCGCTAGACTACTTGCTGACTTGTTCATTCTCAGTGAAACTTTTATGTCTATTTCACAGTTGAATACCAGCATTTTAAAAAAATCAGAAACGCCATAATCCTCAACTGAGTCTTAAATTATCTTAAAGTATCAGGCTGATAGTTATCAAATCTACTAAACGCCTTTCGTCGACAATGTTAGGAGGGAATGTGGGAATGTTCATTACATTGAAACATGCAGCTTTATAGTTGTATACTCTGAAACCAGTCTCTGACTAAACATACAGACGGAGAAATAGATAACTTACCTCCATAGGATAAGCCTTGAAGTTAACAGTATGTTCTGATCCTCTATCATCTTTCTGCCCCCAGTGAAAAGCACAAGCAGCTAACTCGAACTTTGAATTCTGGGGTAGAGGTCCACCGCTTAGAACTATAAAATTCACAATAATATCATTAAGAAACTCATCGTTTACATAAACATCAACAGATAATTATTGCTATCATATATTGCATCCCTATATTATGCGACCATGCCACCGAGGCCGCTTGATTAGTATTTTTATGGACACGCAAAATTTATGTTAAAGCTTATCAACACTAGTGTGGCTAGGAGGGATTAGACCACACAGCGAGGTCACTGACAGGTAGCTATCTCATCAACTCAGCTCTCAAATAACATAAGAAATAGAGGATCATGGGGGACCAACAGGCACCGATTGGGGAAGTTTTCTATAGAGAGGGAGCAAGTAGCTACAAGCAGGACAGTGGGGCTTTAAATGCCGTCTAAGTTCATTCGACGTTTTAATGTAAATTATCTACACATTTCAGCCTAAAAGCGATAACGCTGACATGATGTTTATCGTGAAAGAACACAAACGTCAAACGCATCAGATGTTTTCATTTGAAATATGTAGCTTTACCGATTCAATATTGAAATAAGGTAAATAATTTTCCCTCAATTTTGTCTTCGGGAAAAAGAAATACCCTCCGGAAATCTATTACTCGATCAACTATCCCCTTGGACAGTGTGGACAACTACCCCTTCCTCCTATAGATGGTAATTATTTGTGTTGGTAGATGTCTGGAGGAAGTTGTCCGGGTAGTTGCTTGGGTGATAGTGATCTGTAATAATCATCCTAATATTGAAATGTCTGGGAATAATTGTCTGGACGCAACACTGTCCTAGGTTGTAGTGGTTCGGGGTGGTTGTTGTCATAGGCTGTAGTGGTATGGCTTGGTTGTTGTAAGGATTAGTGGTCCGGGTGGTTGTTGTACGGATTAGTGGTCCGGGAGGAGGCGCTCTCGGAGAGATGTCCGGGGTAGTTGTTGTCAAGAGTGGTGGTCCGGGTGATTGTTGTCCTAGGTTGAGTTGTTTGGTGGTTGTTGTTGTCCTAAGCTGTAGTGGTCCGGTGTGATTGTTGTCAGGAGTAGTGGTCAGGAGTAGTGGTCAGGAGTAGTGGTCCGGGCGGATCGGTTATCGGTGGATAGTAGCCCAAGCGGTAGATATCTCAGAATCTTACCTGACTTGGGCACGGGATCTAAGCTCGTATCTCGTAAGCCTGACATCCCAACATCTAAAATAAGAAAGAGAATTCATTCTCACGAAACAGTACATTATGCTTATCATTATGATCACATTGTAATGTTATTGCGTAATATTTACTATAATGTAAATAACAAAATAGTCTATCAGAATTCAGTTTTCTTTGGGATATTTTGTTGTATGCTAATCAAACACGGTGACTTTGATTAGTTTGTTCTTTTGTTGTTTTGTTTTGTTATACCCCGCATAATCAACAACAATAAATAAGGAGAGCCATTGTTGAATGAGCGTTTTACATTTTGCTTATCTTCAGGTATTCACTGATTTGCCCATTTGTTTTTATATACTCATAGATGTTTTGAGTTTGTGCAATTTCATTCATGTTTTCCTTTCCTGTATGTCAAATTTGGACGAAAGGAAGATGATTGTATGAAATAGTATTAACAGTTTTTGTGTATATTTACATTGTCACAGTGAAGCAATATTAGCAGATCGAATATTTCAATCTCCATTGATACACTTTCCTTCAAAACCATTCTCCACAAATCAATATTGATTCTTACAATGCTAATCATGTTCTAGTAATCAAATGTAATAATATATTTACATTTTATGTACCTGGTTTGTACTTGAAGATGATTTGTATGCCGGTGCCGGTATTGATCAGATCGCAGTCCCTACAAAGGGCGTAGTTGACTTCCAAGGGGGGTTGGTTGAGGCCCTCCCTGTACACAGCCTCGCGAGAGTTGATGTCGATCGGGGACTGACAGTCGCCATTCGCCTCTTGGAAATGAATCCCCCACTCGGCCGTGCCTGGACAGGGGAGGAGGAGAGATACCTTGTGAAAACGACCCCTCGGAGAGGAGGAGACGGGATTAGAAGTGCACGTTATCGCTGAAATGGTACTTAGACCAATTCATATTCTTGGAAAGAAAGTGGGAGGAGAAAGAGGAAAAAGGGGAGGAGAAAGAGGAAAAAGGGGAGGAGAAAGAGGAGAAAGGGGAGAGAGAGAGAGAGGGGGAGAGGGAGGGAGGGAGGGAGAGAGAGAGACAGAGAGAGAGAGAGAGAGAGAGAGAGAGAGTAAGAAAGTCTGGAGATATGCAGGGAGATATGCAGAGAGGGTGAGATCGAGTGAGAATATAGGGAAGTCAGAGTGATGGTTGAACCAACCAGATTTTCGACACTAAACAATTTTAACCCTCTACCCAATACTATACCGAATCCTAATCCTAAACCTAAAACACTGCAACACTTTAATACCCTAATCATAAATCTTTGACGAAATAAAGCCCGGAGCAACTGTCACCGGAGCAAATAGCGGATCACCTCTGTCAATGAGACATTTTCTAATGTAATCCCATAAAAAGCAACGTACACTCATTTGTTTCCATACGATTTAAATATTGTAATTCATTTGCTAACTTAACATTTTCATTAACAGTGATTGAAGATTTCTGAAATGTGCCAACAAATTAAATGCAGATAATAATATACTAACCTCGACTGTGTGTTTAACGCTTCGTCTATACATTCGAAGTTTCAAGATGCAATAAACAATGTTTCATGGAAGAAGTACGTTTAGAGAGTTGCATTTTGGGAATGGACTTTTCTTGGATTTCAAACTTGTCGAACTTGTGCTGGGGTCAAAAAGTGGTAATGGAAAAGCGGATATGGCCGCTGTATCTACTTTATATCATTCATTACGAATTGATCGACTTATCCCTTCTCAAGACCTACGGATTCGTTATCTTTGATTTGTAGCAAAGTGCACGGAAAGGGCTCAACATCTTACGAACTTGAACTTCAACTTCAGATGAAGGGAGAAGAATGTGTGTCGACAAGGTCGGACATAGTGCAACCCCGAAAGACTTTCATCCTTCACTTTCACTTCACGAGACAACCTTAGCCTCCATTACAATCCATGTCACGGGTTTAGTTTCATCAGCGTTTCTGATATTTTTCCTTAAAAACCACGCAAAAGAAGAACTACATTGTGGTCATTTCCTGCCGCGCAATTACGGTTATTGATTGCCGCTAAACGGTGGCCGGCTGAAACATTTAGGCGAATGAAAAAGCGTTTAAACCTATGTCCGGAGCGGTGTCTATATGCTTTGAGCTGTGATAGTATATCTATTGATCCATTATGAAACATGAGTGATGGCTCGGAGCAAGTCACATCTTATTTATCAAGGATGTTGCTCCTGTTCACATTTTCTCCCGGGCCGACACAAGAAGCATCTCCAAAATGGCGTCGATCCTATTGCAATGGTACGGAATTGTTTGTCAGCCAACAGGCGTCATGGATATAAATACAAAGTCTAATATTTGTTTGAGGCAGCATTTCAGAGTAAACAGAGTTTACTTTACCTCGGGTTTAAACTAGATATAAACCTTAAAGATAACATTTTGGCTCTTTAATATTCCATGCTACCATATGCGTGGTAAGACGAATCAAGATAGCTACCACGGATGGGCAGTTATTATCAATTAACATGTTAAAACAATGGTTTTATGGTAAAAGCCTTATAGAATACAAGCTCTTGAAAGACAAGAGCATTGAGGAAAAAAGTGCAATCAAACTAGGCAACTGAACTTAAATTATTCATAATATTTTTGTCAATGTTTACAATAAAAAATGTAATTCTATGCTCATTTGTAACATTTATCACTGTCATGTTCTACTCATACTGATAAATACAAGTTATCGCTGGAGGGTTCCGAAATTACAGACTTATCAGAACAAGACAACAATAAAGAAAACTATTTAAGTGAAGTAGTAAAGGTTAAAGTAACAGATACATTCGGTATGCTTGTAGAAGCCTTCATCATCAGGTGATGATAGGTTAGATAATTACAATATGGTAATGATGATGATGATGAATTTATTATTTGATATGGTTTATTGTTGAAAACATTTAAAAAAAAAGCAATTTAACGAAATGATAAGGCTGAAACAAATTGAATGATGATGATGGTGGTTATTTTAATGATGAATAGAACATGATTAGCATTGTAAGGATGAATATTAATTTGTAGAGAATGGTTTTGAAGAAAATGGCAATGGAGATTGAAGCATTAAAATGAAATATTAAAGTTAAAATAACAGTTACATTGGGTACGCTTGTATAGAAGCCTTCATCGGGTCATGGTAGGCTAGAAAATTGAAATAAAGTAATGATGGTTATGATGATTTTGATTGATATGGTTTATTATTAAAAAACATGAAAGATAGCAGCCATAATGCTGAAACAAATTGAATGATGATAGGGGTGACGACGACGATGATGACGACGATGATGATGATGATGATGACAAATTGTGATAATAAAAAAGAAAGCAATACGGCAATATTTTACACTAAAATTACAATAATTGATAATGATAGGATAATAATGATGGAGCTCCTTTGATAGTGTCTAATGTTAATGATAAAAATATCAATACTATAACAGTAACCATTATGATCAGAATTATTATATTATTAACTAACTAGTATTAATGAAGACGACCATACAGACTTTAACAAAAAATAATTAGCCTTAATAAGCATCATCTATTCAATGTGCGAACAATGCACTGGCATTACCTAATCCGTACACGATTTACATAGGAAATACAATGATATATTGAGTCGTCATTATAATATCAATTTTACCTATACGTATGCCTTTAGTTCGTTTTAAAAAAACGTTTGTGATCGTAGTTCAACACTGATTTTGTTTCCAGTCTAAATTGGAATGTTCATGAATTTCGGTTTAATCCCTGGTATCTTTTTTCGCATGTGAAATGGGCCCGTGTTCAATCAACCGGTAATGCTCAATGCCTGAAACTAGCTCACCTTGTACGCCTGGGTGTATTGTTGCACGCCATTAGACCCTGGGGAAAATCAAACACTAAAAAAAGTCCTAGATGCTTGGTGAATTAAGTGCATGTATGTCGTTTCTCTATATACACGCCAACGAGTCGCATCTTCATTTATGCGCATACGACAAAAAGCGATGAAAAGCGACTGCGGGCGTCGAACGCTGTTCGGATGATAATAGATTATATTAAGTCAGTTTTGCTGAGCCAGGGGAGGCTCATTATGTAAACGGGATTGAGGTCGAACCCTGACCGTTATAATCAATCAGCTCGGCGTTAAGATGCCCGAAATTTCTGTTTCCAACCCTCGATATTTAATCCTGATTGCCAAGGTACGGCACACGGTTTTATTCAAGATCCAAGATTCTAGATTCATTTAACCTGAGAAGGCTGATGTATAACCAGGACACAACAATATTTATCTGATATCCCTCACCCTTATTGCCAGCATCGTCTTTATTAAGTCATTCCCTTTTTTCTCCCTCTTTTGAAAATGCAAAAATATCCCAAAATCTTGTCATAAATCCAATATATTATTCCCTTTCATTTCCCTTAATTGAGTTACTGGGGGTGACACATTCTTAGGCTTGAATACCATTTTGTGTTTGTTAACGCCAAGCGAGATACTATAAATGACCTTAAAAAAAAGCATGACAAACCAATACCACTATTCAAGTAATATTTTTACGACATAATATGACAATATCGTTATTTTATGTACATGTATTTGAATTTTATATACATTTTTCTTTTTTAAAGGATGCAACATCGTTCTGCGCTTGCCTTTCATTTATTCATGAACCGTTCAACCTTGTATCGATGTATCTATTGTCAGAAGTGAGTGGCTTCTCTCAGCGACGTGGCGTGTTCTCACTGACACGCTTTCATTGGTTATAAAATGTGCGACGCCAAACCTTAAAGGGCAATCCAACCCTTGTAATAAGTTGATTTGTATGAAAGAAGAATCTTGAATCTTGAATCTTGAATCTTGAAAGATAACAATCATAAACAGAATCGGACCAATATCAAGGAAGTCATGAATTGTTGAATTGTAATATCACTAAGTCTATGCGAATCTCAAATTGATAGTTTATTGTGACGTAGGACGTGGATAACTCTGCCATTTGCCGTGTACAAAAACATCAATAATTTTTGTTTTTTTCGAAAGTTCCTTCTCCCTTGGTGCACTACTCAAAATGTATTATAGATAGCACATTATTATACATGTAGGTCCTCTAGAAAATAGACCTTCCTGAGCCATGAATTTTTGAAAAATTTAAATTTACGTCATTTTGTTATGTTGGAACAGATGGAAAAGTAGTCCGGCACTACATCACATTGACATTACCGCTTCAGCCAATTTGAAGTGCCCATACGTATAGTGATTACAACTTTCTTATAATTTAGTCAGATTTCAGTGAAACTTTCGTCAGTTTGCTTCTCTGATTTTTCTTTTAGATTAGTTGTCTATTTGGGTTGGATTTCCCTTTTCAGATAACGTTCAGTTCTGGTCATGAAAGCAATCGGAAAGGGTGATAATGAAGCATATAAATATGGGTGTACATGTGAGGTTTTGGAATCATCAAATTGATAGGAAATTGGCTCAGTTTTGCTAAAAGTCATTATGCACTGTACACATACACGTAAATGTGTATATGGGACTACACAAACATATGGCATGGAAGTTGTGGTCCAATACCTTTAGCTGTTATTTGTCATATATCGAACATGAGGGCATTTGAGAAGCCATCCTTTTCAGGGGATATATTTCCATGATATTCTTCCAGACTAACATTACCAAAATAATAAAAAAAAGCTCACGAAGTATTTTTCCGCCTTTCCCAGAACTCGACCTTCTCTTTACGCTAATTATGACTTCAGCACATCATTACCGGCTATCTGAGCCCGTAGAGGTTAATGAAGGAGCATTGTTTGTCCGTGTGGAAGGCCTTTCTGATCATTTTTGTATTTTCGTGATTAAAAAGCAGGAGAGTCAGGAAACCAGGGAGGACGCTTAGCGACGATAAACAAATACTGGATCCACTAATGGCAATACGAGGGTGTGCGTATATACGTGTGTTTATGTGTGTGAGAGAGAATAAGTGGCAGAGAGAAGGAAAAATAGCAATAAAGACAGAAAGAGGGAAGGGGGAAGAAAGAGACGGGGAAGAGAAAGAAGGAGATGGAGAGAGTTGGTAGTGTAATGTTAGAATTACAGAGAACTTGAGAGAAATATAGGGAGAACGGGGGGAAGGAAGGAGATATAGTTCGTTGTCTTCATGTCATTGCAGTGATTAGAGATCGGTAGAGGTTGTTGTTACCATGGCAACTGCAATTAACGACTACAGTAATTGCCCTCACGATTTCGTTTCCTGTTTTAGCTCGTTAAGAAATTGTTTTTGTCAGCATTGTTCGACAGAAATGCCACATTCAGTAAGGTTTTAAAAGGCTCAAGAAGCGATTCCATTTCAGTACAGATAGAGAGAAAAATACCAATCGTAAAAGTAATGAAATATTTCACCGAAATCGGAAATTTTGCCAATCTCCCCCGATTCATTCAACACGTCAACATCTCCTTTGTAAAATGAAGTATGCAACGCCGAGATTGATTCTCTCTCTCTCTCTCTCTCTCTCTAAGTGCCATATCGTTTGACTTTGGCGATCATGCTGTTCCACAACCCTCGGCTCCTATCCAGAGTATCCTCCTTCTTCCCCTACTCCCCACAATTTTCCCTGTCAAAGCAAGATTCTCTAGGCCTTCTTTACGTGTAATGTGACCCATGAACTTCAACTGCCTAATCAACATCTCACGTATCATTTTCCTTTGCACTCCAGCTCGTGTAAGAACTTCCTCATTACTAACTTTGTCAGTCCAGGGGATTTTCATCATTCTTCTTAGAAATTGATTGATTGATTGATTATAAGTAATAATAATAATAATAATAATTCTCAGTTTTTATGAAGCGCTTATTACAATCACTAAGCGCATATTGTCTACATTCTATGTATAACTAGGGTTTACATGAACGTGTAAAATGGTGTGGCATGTTAGGGAGGGCACTACACAAAAAGATATTACAAAATGTTTCCATTACAGTTTAAAAAAAACAAAAAAACACAGAGCTATTCAAAAGATGGGTACAAACAAGGAAATGGGAAATAATAATACACGATTACTTGATGGGGAAGGATTCATAGCCTATATCACAATCCTGAAATTCGAATTAAAACTAGAAAACTTTTGTGTATGATAGTCTTCCTAGTAATGATCAAGCACTCGTAATCTCTCCCCCTAAACACCCCAATATCGGATATTGACTTCATATAGCCAATGTATTGTGTGATGATTCATAGAACGTGTCCATGAGCGACTTTAATTAAGTATTAATTAAATGTTTGAATCCAAGCCATCTCTAATCCAATTTGTCAAGGATGTATAAACAATGTTGACGCAACAAACAGGCTATAGTTAATCAAATATAATGAGAAGTGATTTCAAGCAATACACTGTCTTGTATGGTTAATCTAACCCCGTCTGCTTTGTTGACACGCACATACATGTACAAGTCGATATCCTTGTTAATTCTAGATGATTTAACGGAAAAATAAACATTGATAATGCCGTAAGAGAAAAAAACATGCAGCGTAGAAGCATCTTCATTTTCCCTTTTTGATTAAAAGATGATACAGAAGATTTTCATTTCATAGATCAAACATTCAAGAACATTTTACAATGGAAATTGTTTATAAATTGTTTATAAATTTCGCTCCAAAATAATAACAATCACAATGAAGCTTCTAACTTCATGTTATACCATGTTGTGTTTGATTTGAAAAGTGTGACACCCAAAACTGGACAAAATGGTTATAATTTCACAATTTAATTCATTCTTTACTATACAATGTAGATTACATCATTACAGATTGTGTAGGACCTCCCTAAATCAATTATGTATACTCCATGAAACAAAAACCTAAACTAAAACCTTTTAAAATCATAAAACTAGATGCAATGGAAAACAAATGTCAAATTAAAGAATTTTCATCTTAAATTTGCTCTTGCCCCATTTAGATCTCAACTACTAACAAGTATTGATGAAATAGATTACAATCAATTAAACCGGAATTTGAAAATAAAAATCCTATCTGGTGCGCGTTGCAATTAAACGGCTTTGTTTCATACTTTTGCAAGTGTCTCATGTGTTAACACAATAGATTGGGGAATCAAAAGTAATTTTTTAATAATTATATAGCCCATGCAATCCTTTAAGCCGAATACCCAAGTTGTAAAGCCTCTATACCTTTATACGGATCCCCGTGCTGCCACATTTTTTTGAAGCGTGGTGTGTGTCACCATGGCAACGTGAGGCAGCACAAGAGGAGTTGTGCAAGCTATAGAGAAATAGAGCTTTTGTCGGGTATATTTACCATCATCGTGATAACTCCATGCGATACTTTTATCTTCGTATTCCGTTGCCATCTTGAATATCTTAGGTAGATCGGAACTCCTTTTAACCCCCGCTGGTCAAGCTTGTACATGTAAAGGAGCAATGTTGTCCGCTTGTCTGTCTCCGAGGTGTTGATGATAAAGCATTGACATTGATGCACAGCTCGACTTGACAGTATTGTCAGGTCGTATATTAAGCGAGTTTGTTGCACCTACATAATTTAAGTCGTATCTACGCGGTTCGCTCTGCGCATGCTCCGAGCCTAATGACGGAATATAGTGTTGTAGTAAGCTGGTGAGGTATATATCTATATGCGGTGGACTACTATAATAATGGAGATGGATTCTCCTGCCAGTCTGTGTGGGTTAGACGCTCACCATCTCCTCCCGCCTTCCCTCAAATTAATATCCACCCACCCGGGATCAAAAACTTGAGGGAATCATGCACAATGATGACGGGATGATTGCCGTGTATTAGCCGCGGTCATTAGGGGGAAGTCAGGCGGGCACTATCTGACAATTACGCATGCAGCCATAAAACACGAACATCCGCTCTCTTTTAATTCGAAACCATGACAACGTGTAATATATTATTAAGCAACATCAACAGGTATTAATTCAGTAAGCAGCATGCATGCATCACCTACCGTAGGACGATGCCATAGTTCGTATCTTCTGACTCGTCATATCGTAGCCAGCAATAATTATTCACTCCACTCCTGACTCCGTTGAGGTTGTAAGATACTAAGAAGGAGACCTATCCACTCTCCCGAACCAAAACGTGATCAGACAAGGAGCATACGCAATACTTTGAAGATTGTAATTTGATTTTCACAAGTCGCCCTATTTCGCTGCCTTGTGGTTAGTAGGCAACAAGGCCAAGAAGACGTTGACGGTGAGGGAAGATGGTGGCCGATGAAGAGAAAGATAGAGATGGAGAGTAGAAGGACGGTGGTCAGCGAGAATTAAACCTCGGGATAATCCTCTATCTCAGTAAGAGATGTAAGAGTAAAATACACGGAGCAGTTTCTTCATTCCCCCTCTTCAGAGCATATGAGAGCAAATGAGAACAAGTTAAAAAGAGATCAGAGTTCAGTGACAAATACCTTTCTTCCTCTCATACTGCCTGACATTAAACAAGAAAAGGAATCGATGGAAATGGAAAGGGCAGGGAGACAGAGAGACAGAGAGACAGAGGGAAAGGCAGATAAAGAGAGACAGAGAAAGAGAAAGGGAGAGAAAGAAACAGAAGCAGAATGCAAACGTTCTAGATTTGATTCAACTGGGCGTTTTCTCAAATGAAAATTATAACTTGCGCATGGCAATGCGATAAAAAAAAATTAGAGCCAAAGATATTCAACTGCATTATACCAGTTTTTCGTCGCCTGCTATTCACCGAGGGAATAACGACAACGTAATGCATTATTCCGCCACGATGAGAAACTGACGACGTCTCGACGTTGTCATGGAAACTCAATACCGCAAACCATAATAGGAATGGAAATAGGAATGTTTCAAGTTTAGGGGGGAGAGAGAGAAAGAGATAGTATTTGCATTTGAGCCAAAAATACCGAATGCACAGAAAAGAAAATTGCACATATTCTCGCACGTGATAATTACGAACCACCCATTTCCTGAACCTAATAAGCCTCCTAACAAATCTATATGATGCATCTTTCAAATAAAGTCACCGCATTCATAGTCTTCCAATCTAAAAAGCATTAATGTGAACACGGTGCTATGCTTTTCTTTACTATGATGCAAGTCATAAAGATTGCTGGAACGAAATCGAGTTTGATATATGGCATGGATTTTTTCTTTTCTTTTTTTCTTCATTAAAGGCATTATGAAATTATGCGTGAGTTAGACACGTAGTATGAAAGATATAAACCCTCAGGACCCTTACCACAACCAAGGGTGGATAATAATTACCAAACATCTATTATGTCTATTATTTTGTGTTAATAATTCTTTGATACCATGGTGACGATGATCCTTTTGATAAATGACCATCATCCCAAAGTCCATAGATCGAGAGTCTTTACTGACTAAGTGAGATCAAATTGATTATCCGGCGAGAAAATGCTAATGACCAGTCATTAGCATATAAAAAAGACCCGTTACGCGTAAGTAAAAGTGCCAGGCCATATCTTCGCTCTCAACTACTCCGTTTGGTTAGGAGTTACATCATGATTTTCTAATTTTTCTGTAGTTTTGATTATCATGCCTACGATTAGTTACAGCCAGCCTTACTTTATTCTACATATATTCTTTTGTCATGTGTAAATTTGCACTGTTTGTTTGTTATATATTTGTAAAAATGCAAAAGAAAAAGAAAATCAAACAGAAATGAATAAATCAAATCAAATCAAATAATACCATATTGAATCTGACGACAAGGAAAATATTTTTCTTTTTGAGGTTGGAATTGTATTTAGTACACAGCAAATGGGAGGGGACCTCGCAAGATACATGTACGTCACCGAGTTGCCAATTTGTTTGATTCAAGTTGATCACGACTTCACAATTTATAACTATATTGTTTCTAATCGATTTTTACTCAAACTTTCACCATCCCGTTCCTCTCTTGTTCTACGTCTATTAACACCACTTTACAATCAACAAGTAAATTATTCATGTCCCTTTTAAAATTGATTTTTTTTTTTTTTTTTTTTTTTGTTAGCCTTTGTTGAATAATTTTAGATATAAGTTTTAATATGTCACATTCTCAAGAAACAGAAATCGGTACAAGTCAATTTTTCACATACTTAAAAAATTACAAAACTTAGAAACGATATAAATAATATACATGTATTATTAACATCAGGGTGCTTATTATTCACATCAGAGTGGTTGTTATCAATATAAGGGTGGACCTTTTCTTTAATAATATTTCATCTGACTCTAAAAACAGCTTATTCCACACAAAAAAATCTCTGCGATGGTTGATTAAGCCTGTACGATTCATAACAATTTATACTATTATTTTGTCCTGTATACAATATTTTAAAAAAGGTTTAAGTTTTACAAGTCAGGGCTTAGGAAGACGACGATGAAATCAGCAGTACAGCTGACCTTAAAGGTAATACACAGTTTTGGTATGGGTTCATGAATTCAGTTCAAATAAACATATTTGAAGCATATGCGATTTCACAATATCAAATGATCGTTGTCGCGGTTGAAATCGAGTATAAAGTGATGACATTGAAAATAATAAACTCGTTATCTTGTATAGCTCCCTCTCAAGACTGATATTACTTTAGCTTTAAAACAATGTTTCTCAGTATTGTTGAATACAACCGACCGATTTGCTATTCCCGTTTATAAATTATATATCAGAACTGTATATCCTGAGATTTTCATGATCGCAGCTACCGTGGAATGGCCTTAGGTGCCATTTGAAATATTCGAAATTCACCTGGAGCACCGGTAAATTTTTGATTATTCAATTTCTCGAAAGCAAAAGTGTTTTAGGGGCTAAATTTTTCTAGCGTCAATATTACATCCACGTGGGCATCCAAATATATCAAAATGTCAAAGAATTACTATCTATCCAATTTCAAAATTTCCCAAAACTTTGCATTACCTTTAAAAACTATAGAGAAATGTATAATACAGAACATAGAAAATATTATAGAAAAATACTCGCCCTCTCGAAATCTACCTCTGTACACCCTTCTCCATCCACCTCTCTTCCCTTCTCTCCCTGTCTCTCCCCTCTCCCCTCTCTCTCTTTCTCTCTCTCTCTCTCTGTTAATGCCCCGCCTTCCCTCTCCCCACTTTTTCCTGCACACACTCTCTCTGTCACCTTTGTCTCTCACCTCTCTATCCCCACTTTATTTTTCCGTTTCATCGGGATCGAAACCAATTCGATTATCTTTCCTGAATACATATCCAAACATGAACCATTGCAAGGTAGCCGTAAGTTAAAGGGACTGGGTATCTTTGTCACAGATTCCTTTTCAAAATCCTGGATTTAGCTCATGCTGCAATCATAATTATAAACCTTTAGGTCAGTCAGGAATCCCATGACGTTTACAAGCCGATCGCCCATCTGGTTATCAAGATATTTATGATTGGAAATCGAAATTTCTTGGGGGAAAATGAGTATGGTAAAACCGGTCACTCAAAGACTTTTAATTTTTTGAGTCACTTCATTGTCATTTTGAAGCGCAATTCCTTTAGGGCTTCAATATTACATCATATCACAGACGCTGATAACACGTAGGGCCGTGCATTTCAGATTTGGCATTGTTAAACAATGCCTTTAATACAAAAACAAGCAGAGCTTTGCTTCGCATACTGCGCGTTCAAAAACGGCGCCACGGCTCTCATCTGTTAAACATACCTTTTGACCATCGCGTTAACGGTTAGACTTCATGCACTGTATAGGAGTGATTGCTGGGTGTGGTTAAAACTTTTGATGAGCAAGCTCTCAAATATAATCATTTTCATTGAGACACATCAGTAACACTGAGAAGATGCTGTTCAAATGGAAGTTAAAGCACTAAGGCCCGTACGCAAGGAGTAAAGACATGTTAAACAATGAAAACTTAAACGTCAGCCTAACTTGTCTTGTAAAACTCGAGTTAAAACCGCGCATGAATACACTATACAGTCCACACATAGCACCACTGGTAGACTTTTTGTGTATTAAAAAATGTTTAGACGACCTCTATTGATTCTCAGCATTTCAATCCGCATTAGCATTGACTATTATGCTTTGCTGGAGTGATACAGTCCGGTTTAAATTTCGGTACGGACACAATTTTTTCTATTAAAACATTTTCAAATTGAATTAAGTTCATTAATTCAGAATCAAGCAAGATCCATTTACACTGCACACCAGCCAATCCCACAGACATTTCACAATGAGCACACACATACAAAGATGATAATGGGTTAGATCCTACCTCGATATGAGAAGGCCTTGATGGGTAGAGAGCACAGGAGATCGTCAAAGGTATCCTCGTGTACCCATGGGATTAGCTTCTCCCGGGAGTCGCTACGGCGGGTCAACAGCTTGCCCCGGAGGTAGCGCTTCCGAAACTTCGTGAACTTGAGGATTGACATCGCACTCCGATTATTCTCCCTTAAGACATATCCAAAACGGAGGTCATTGATCACGGAAAAGACATCAGATAAAGGTATCCTTAGAGTCAATTAAGGGTCGAAGAAACAACACCCACCGAAAAAATTCGAAATTCAAAATCCAACTACAAAATCCCCCCTTGTGCTTGTTACAGGCCCGTCGTTCGATTTCTTTCTCCA